CACAGTCAGAACCTCACATCTTAAAGACTTCCTGCCCAGGCCAGGAGAGAGTCCTAATGGACAGAGCACATACTCTGTATGCAGGAGCCCTGGTTTGAGTCCCAGGCATTGCGTGAGCACCACCACCCCCTACCAGTCCCTCTCACTTCTCCTCCCCCCACCCCACCCCACCCCCACAGACACACAGACACACACACACAGACACACACACACACACACACACACACACACACACACACACACACACACAGAGTACACTGGGAGTAGGCCCCAGAAACACTTGATAAAAAAGAAAAGAAAATGCGTAATTCCAGAACCCAGGCTGGATGCAAAGCTGCCGGCTGCCCCCTGCTGCCTGAGAGATGCATCGATGGCCCTCATCTGATTCAACTTTTATCCTCTCAAATGCCTTCACCTGCCCATGCCTGCAAAATAAAAGAGACAATGTTTCCCCAATGTTTAAAATTCCTTCAACTCTCAGGAATGCAGCATTTCTTAATATAAGCCACGTTTTCATATTTTAGATAGTAGGATCATTTAACTGTCCTCCCGTTGTTCACTGATTTTGCTCGAGCGGGCCCAGTAACATTGTTGAGACTTGTTCCTATGTTTGGCATATTGAATTTGGCATTCCTCCATGGGTAGCTTGCCAGGCTTTGCCGTGCGGGTGAGATACTCTCGGTAGCTTGCCGGGCTCTCTAAGAGGGGCAGAGAAATCATTTACAAGAGATGTTTCTCCCACACAAATAAGGGCTCATAAACGGATATCGGTGACTAGAGCCGATAGTACAGTGGGTAAAGTAACTTGCCTTGCACTTGGCCAACTTTGGTTTGATCTCCAGCACCACACATGGTTCCCTGAGTCTGTTCAGGAGCTTGGAGTCAGGAATTAGCCTTGAGTACCATTGGGTGGGCCCCTCTGCCCACCTCCCCCAAAAGAATTGAAATCAGGCATGCCAGAGCGGTAGCATAAGACTTAAAGTACTTGCTTTGCCTGCACCCAAACGAGGTTCAACCCCAGCACCACAAACAGGGGTCACTCCAGAGCACAGAGAACTGCTTTGTGCGCCTCACACTCCATGAAATAAGAAAAAAAGATTAAAAATAATAACCCAAGATTAAAAGAACCAAGTGCAGGACTGGCAGCCTGTGGGGGTCTGACCCGGGCCCTATGCTCCCTACACAGGGATTCCAGTTCAGGGTCACTGTTTCCTACAGCCCCCAAGCTCTGCCCCCCCCCAATCCAGATGTGATCGACTCCCTCTTACCAGACTGTCAGGAGACATCAAGATGCAGTGAGTACAATCTCAAAGCTAGGAGCAAGACGACGGCTAATTTCATATAATTATCTATTGGGGAATATTTAACTTGTCTCCCAGAACCTAGCTTGGTTTTGAAAATGGAGAGTGTCTAATTGCAGAAAATTATCAAGGAGGCTCCTGGAGAGAAACGGGATGTAGTGAATCTCGTGTTCGTCTGTCATTGATGGAAGCACAGGCTGTTGGCAGGAGTGTGGGCCGACGCGCCACCCCACTGGGCCCCTTGCACGTGACCTGTCCCCTTGGATAAGTCACTCTGTCTCTCCGATGAACCTTTGGGTTTTCTTATCCTTAGCACGGAGCAAAGCCTTGTCATCTAAGGAGATGGGCTGATGCCCAGAGACATAGAATGTCTAGCCCAGAGAGGGGCTGACAACAAGAGCTCTCTCTAGAATAGATGTCAGAGGGAGATTGGAGCCCTCCGATCCAGCAGAAGTTGAATGCAGTCCAGCCCAAGTCCAGATGTGGGCATTTCAATGCCTGGACTCTCCTTGGAAATGTCATGAATTTGTCAAGATGGGGTTGTGATGGAGTCTGTGGCCCCACTCAGTGCAATGTGTACGTGTCCTTACCAAAGGGATTTGGACCCAGAAGAACACACGGAGACCCCCAGGGGAGACAGAGTCAGAGGGATGCCTCTAAGTAGCAGTGACAACAGAGAACGCAAGCTCAGAGGTCAAAGTTAGACTCTCTCCCTCCACACCCTCCTACCCTCCTGGGAATCAGCCCTGCAACACCCACAGCCAAATCTAGAGTTTCCAGTCTCCAGGGGAAACAGTGATAAAGGCAGCAGTGCCCCCACCCTGTCCCCCGCTCACTAGCATGGGGTTCAACGGGAATTATTCTTCCCTTTGTTCTTGTGTTTGTGGCAGTCTTGGGGCACACACACACTTGTGGGTAGCAGTAGGAATCACACCCAGAATGTGGTCCAGTGTTGGGGATGGAACTCACAGCATCACGCAGGCAAGACAGATGCTCTACCCTTGAGCCAAGACTCTGGGTAAGGAGAGTTGAACAAAACAGCTCCTGCTGTTGAATATTCCAGAATCTTAGTGTTAGAGCCTGAACTAGAACCCAATTCTCTGGCGTCTCAGTTGAGACCACCCTCAGTGCCCTTCCCCTCTTCCCCAGAAGTCCCCTGATTTATGGAAACAAGTTCCATTTATTTATTTATTTTCCATTTGAAAGTAGTTGTGTATTAATTGATTATAAAACTATGGTAGATACTTTAGCTCATTCATCTCACCAGCCAGTTAGACCGTCTGCTCTGTTGCCAGCATCTCCACCTTCTACAAAATGGGTGGTCTCTTTATCCCACCCCGGGGAGAGGATCATTTGAAGGGCCAGAGGAAGTGGTTCGCCTCTTTGAAGCATTTTCTAGCAGTACAAAGCTTATGAATCAGATCCTCCATGCAGACGATGCTGTGACCAAGAGTTCACGTGACAAGGTTTCAATGAACATGCTGAGGACTCGGAAACCCTATATTGCCTGGGGGTACCCAAACCTGAAGTCAGTAAATGAATTGATCGGCAAATATGGTTATGGCAAAATGCACAAGAAGCGAATTGCCCTAATGGATTCCTGCTGGCCTCAGGCACATGTCCTTCCATGTCTGTGTAAGTTCACTTCCTGGGACCCCCGTGTCCTCCTTCTTCCCCATCCCCTCGGCGAGTCTCGATGTCCTCGTCGCAGATGACCTTGGAGACCTGCAGCCCACAGTAGGGTGAGCCCATTTGGACCCTGACCTGGATAAATGCACGGGTTTGAGGATCAATGAATGCCAATGATGGCTGTGCACCTAAACTGTTTGGGGGTGGGGGGTGGGTCTTGATTTAGAAGTTTGGGAATGTTTTTGTGACCAGAAAAATGGTGTTGGCCCCCAAGTAGGTTTGCTGTATATTCTTCTGCTTGGTTTCTCTGTTCATGCATCAGGGAGTCCCGAGTTGTCATGGCCAGAAAGGTCCCAGGTGACTGTTGAGACGTGGCACCTCGGGGGAGGCTGGTGACCCAAGCTGAGACCATTTATCTGATGTAGGCAGGCAGGCAGATTGAGAAGACCACCAACCCCCACCCAAGGCAATGGCAGTAAATTTCCTAGGAATCGCTCTGAAGTTGCCAAGGGCAATCTTGCAGAAAACAAGAACTATGGCCTGATAAGACCCTCATCTATGGGCAGCACCAGACCCAGAGAAGCTCCAGCAGAAACAAAAGCCAGGAAAGGGAGTTCAGAGAAGATCATCACCACTCCCAACCCTATCCCCCTTGACAACCTCCTTAGCAACCTGGATAGAATCCCCACATGGGGGCAGGTTGAAGAAACCCTATAAAAGCCACCTGGAACAAAGGAAGCAAGGGCATATGGTGCCCGAGCCCATGTGCTGCTTGCACCCATGTGGCCGAGCACATGCTGTGACTGAACACGTGTGTCGCCTTTATCTCTCCTCTTGAGATGTGTACTTTCATGCTTTCATGTCTAATGGCTGGGGTGTGTGTAGGGGCTCTCTCTGCCCTCGGAGAAGCCCACGTTCTCTCTTGAGCACGTTACTCTCCACTCTCTCTCTGTCCTTCCTTCCAAAACCTCCAAATAAAAACTGTAATTTCACTGCTTGTCTACTTCTGATATTCCTTTCTGGAAGGCGAGACAAGAACCCAGTAACCCCGGGTCCCGGGTGGCAGAGGCAGATGGGGAGAAAGCGACCATCTTTCTCCTCCTCACTTCACATGAGCCACCTGGGGGGCCCACCGACATTACACCCGCAGGAAAATTGCCTTTGACTTTGCTGTTCTCTTGGGATTGGTGGAAGCAGCTGGAAAGATGTGAACCATGGCTCAAACTTCTTCCTTCCAGAGCCTTCCTGCCTCTGAAAGGCTTCCAAGGAGTGTGCAACAACAGGAAGAAAAAACACGCTGACTTGAAATCTTTATGGGACGTGTGGAGGCTTTGGGATGCACAGGGGTACCCAAATGATGCCTGGGGCCTGGCTCTACCCTCAGAACCCCTTGGCACAAACTCGGCACAAGCTCTCCTCGTGCTCCCCGGCTCTGCTAACAAAAGTGACTTCATCAACAAAATGGTCTATCACACCTTCCCACCATGAGACACAGCACCCTGCCTGGGGTTCTCTGGTGGGCACTTCCCCCCCTAAGGCACTTTCAGTGGGCGGGTGTGGAGTGGGGGTGCTGGTGGCTCTGGCCTTGGCGGTCTGGCCTAGCTCAGAGCAGGGGGAGAGGAGCAGGGAGAGGAGAGGGGAGAGGGGCTGGGGGCTATGAGGATAGGTAGTCAGGAGGTGATGGTGTCCAGCAGGAACTGCCTGGCCCCCACTCCTCCCCAAGGCAGAGAGGACAGTGGGCAGCAGCTGGCCTGGGCGTCCCTCCACACTGCCTCTTCATGGGCACACCAGGGAGCCACCGTGTCCCCAGGGCAACAGTCAACAGGGCAGAGGCTCCGAGGGGCCGCCTCCAGTGCCCCTCCCCCCAGCCTCCTGGCTTTCTTTCTCTCTCTCTCTCTCTCTCTCTCTCTCTCTCTCTCTCTCTCTCTCTCTCTCACACACACACACACACACACACACACACACCCAGTTACCCCTGGGGAGTGGCCCCCGTGGGGCCCCCAGAGAGACACGGCAGCTGAGTCCGACTACTCTGCAGAGGCCTCAACTCCCCGTCCGGCCTAAGGTCCGATGGCAGGCGGGGGTCTTCCTGCGGGGCCCAGGACAGAGTGGGCAGCCCTGAGCAGCGTGCAGCAGGACCAGCTGTGGAGGGAGCGGCTGCTGGCTGAGAGGCAGAGCCAGAGGCGCTGGTGAGTGACCCCAGGGGCCGAGGAAACTTCTGGAGAGAAAGAGAGAGAGAGAGAGAGAGAGAGAGAGAGAGAGAGAGAGAGAGAGAGAGAGAGAGACCCAGGGCTGGGGGTGGGAATGGGGGAGAACCCCAGACTGGGTGGGCTTGGAGGGAGAGGGAGAGCTGGCAAGGGCCCAAACACAGCCAACTCCCAGGTTCCCTCCTCGACTCTGGGGCCCGCGGTCCTGGGGGAGCTGATTCCTTGCACCCTGCTGGCAGGAGACCACAGTGAGGCAGGGGGTGGGGGGAAGCAGAGACCAGGCAGAGGCTGTCTACTCAGCCCCCTCAGGAACCAGGGGCCCCCAGCTCCCTCAGGCCTGGAGTGCCTGCCTGGTCCGGGTCCTGGCTACTCAGGGCCTTCGGTGACCCGCAGGCAGGCACCAGATCTAGTAAGAAACCAACACACCTGGGGTGGCTGGGAGGGGGCAGCGGGGGTGGGGGAGGGGAAGGTGCTGGTGTGATGCCAGGAACCTACAGGGGCTGGGCTCCTTCTTTGTCCACTGTTGACCAGCCCGGGAGGTCACAGTTAAGCTGAGACCTGATACTTGAGAAGGGGCCAGGTTTGGTGCATTTTCAAAACAAAATAAAACAAAGCCTCTCCCTGGGACAGTCAAGGTCTGCATTGTTTTGGGTTTTTTTCTAATGTAAGGAGACACTGGCTGGGTTTTGGGCTGAGTGTGGCTGAATCTAGCTTATTTCTAGTTCTGAAAGCCCGCTCTGGTCACCTGCTTAGAATACATGGAGTGGGGGAGGGTGGGGCAGCTGGGAGGGTGGTGGAGGCCAGAAGCGGCTCAGGAGGCTGAGTGGCCTGCCCTGGGGGTGGAAGTGGAGCCTGAGATTTTAGAATTCAGGGAATGTTTTGGCGGTAGAGTGAGAATTGCTGATGAGTGCGTGCGTGCGTGTGTGCGCATGTGTCTATGTGTGTCTGCACGTGTGTGTCTGTGTATATGAGTGTGTGTGTGTGTCTGTGTGTGTAGCGAATGTGGTGTCTTTGTGTGTGTAGTTTTGTAGGTATGATAGGAGAGGAGTGTGTAGTGGGACAATGTGGAATGTGTGTCCTCTATGTGTATCGTGTCTTGTGGTGTAGAGAATGTTCACAAAGAGAGTGACTGGAAAACTGAATAAACTCGGGATTTATCAGAGAACAGCAGGGCCTGGAGGAGGAGGCATTTGCCTTGCATGTAACTGAGCATTCCTGGCATAACATAGAGTCCCCGGAGCACCACCAAGAGTAATTCCTGAGTGCAGAGGCAGGAGTGACTCCTGAGCATCACTGGGTGAGGCCCCTCACCAAAAAAGCCAGCAGTGAAAGTACATGGAAGGGCAGAGAAGTTTGTGGAGGGATGAAGAAGGCGAGAGTGGAGACAGAGATCTCCACTCAGTGGGAATATGAGTGGACAGAGAGGACTCAAGGCCAAGACGCTGGTCCACCAGGGTCTGAGATGTTGGAATCCCATCTTGATGGAGCTGCTGAGAGGGTGATTGATTGTAGGTGCCGCCCGAGAGTCAGCCACTGAAAATCCACCACAGCCCAAGGTCAAGAGCCTATTAGAGGAAACAGGACGGGGAAGGAAGGAGAAAGGAGCAATAGCTAGTAGACACAGGACTGCATTTGCGGACAAGAGAAGATCTTGTCAAGAAATCTTGTCATCACAAGAAATCAGAGTAATGATCTGACACCGTCATGTGAATATCCTGAAAACCTGGCACCGAAAAGACTGGCCTTTATGTGCGAACTCTATCTCAATTTTAGAAAGAACAAGGTAAACATGAGATGAGGACCTTAAATAAGCTTTTCCTGGAAAATCAGGATGTTCCAGGAGAGTTGAGGCTACAGCATACAATGCCACACCTGTTGGCTGTGCAAAAACTCCTCCAGGAGCTAAAAAAAAAAAAAAACAATAGCCAGAGAAAAAGAACCCCAGAGATGGTGAGCCACAAAACTCAAGAGAGTGGAGTAAAGGGCTCTTTGCAACAGAAATAGAACACAAGTCAATTTCCTTTTTTTTGTTTTTTTTTTTGGGGGGGGTCACACCTAGTGATGCTCAGGGGTTACTCCTGGCTCTGCACTCAGGAATTATTCCTGGTCCTGCTTGGGGGCCATGCAGGATGCCAGGGATTGAACCCGGGTCGGCCGCGTGCAAGGCAACACCCTACCCACTGTTCTATCGCTCTTGCCCCTATTTCCCTTTTTCTTACAGTTATCTTGAAAAATGTTGCAAGGGGACCAGAGAGATAGTTCAGGGATTAAAGATCTGGCCTTGTATGCAGCTGACTCTGGTTTGATCCCCAGTACCACATGTCCCTCCTGGGTTTCATCAGGAGTAGCCTCTGAGCACAGAGTCAGGAGTAAGACCATCAGCTGTGGTCCAGAAACCAAAACACAAAAAGTAATAAGAAATCAGTAAAATCCACTTTAACCTTTATTTTATTTAACCTTCTCTATGTAAAATATTGTCATTTCAACATGTAGTCAATAGAAAGAAAAATGTAAGAAGTGGTTTATGTTCTTTGTTCCAAGTCTTTGATATCTAGTTGGTATGTTTCATCAATGGCTCATCTCTATTTGTACTGGACACCTCTCAAAGGCTGGATAAATGAGCTTCTATTTCTACAGAGAAACTCAGGACCAGAGGCCCCCAAAGCAGTGATCTGGCCCTGGTCACACAGCATGTAGGCAGCAAGCAAGGACCCTGAGTGTTTTTCTCATACTTTACTGGCTCTCACCAAAGCTTAGCAGGTTCTGGTAATAATGCCCTTAGCTTCCATTTGTTCAAAGACAAAAATCATAACTTGGGTCCCTTATGATAGCAAGAGACACTGGTTGGTAGGACAGGACCCAAACATTTGAGGAAGAAGGGAAGAGATGAATTGGCAGAGTGTGGGGAAAGGAGGGCCAGGGAGGGTGCAGAGGCAGGGGGTAGGGGATTGAAGTAATCCATATTGCAGAAGGGACAGCTGGAAAGAGAAACAGAGTTGATAGGATGGCTCAGAAGGTGGGAAGGCGACCAGAGCCTCAGGAGGGTGGTCTATAGTCACTCAAAGTCTGCACACTGAGTAAGTAGGCAACTTGAACAAGCACAAAACAAAACAAAACAAAAACAAATTCTCCTAGGAATTGGCCTAAATTTGAAATGTAAAACACAGAACAAAGTGACAGTTCATAAAATCAAAATGAGTAGAAATTACTCAGGAAAAAACAAGGGGATGGGAAACGTGAAGTGGAATGAGAACCCTAGAAAACAGTGCAAGAAGGTCCAACACACTCTTAAGTAGAGGTCTCTGAGGCAAGGCGAAATATTACAGAGACAATGTCTGAGACTTCCAGAATCAAAAGGGAGCATCCACAGTGCTGGGACTCGTGCTGCAGTGCAGGAGAGGGACCAAGAACTGAAGACCCAGGAAAGGAATGAGGAGCCAAAAAGGAAGGTGCCACAGGCTGATGGAGAAGGCGGCCCAATGCCTCCGTCCTCAGAGCGGGAGAACTCAGGGTCACAGGGGCAGCTGAAGAGAAAAAGCCTTATTGATGACCTGATGCATTTGCTTGTGTGATGGTACTATTGAGAGGGACTCTACAGTTTTGTTGAAGAATTTGGAATCAAAGATTAGTGTGTAGAAAAATCTAAGAAAAAGTAGAGCTTTGCTCTCACTGGGAAAAATTTAATTGTCAACTATTAAAAAGTCGAAGTTGAACAAGAAAGAAACTGGGATTGTATTAGACCCAGTTCATCACTGAATAGTATTTCTATAATCATAAGTATATGAAAGATAAATAATTTCACCAAACTCTATAATTTTGTTTGTTTCATTTTGGGACCACACTTGGCAGCGCTCAGGGCTTACTCCTGTCTCTGTGCTCAGGGCTCACTTCTGGAGGAGCTTAGGGGGATCAGATGTAGTACCAGGAATTGAACTCAAGTTGGTCATGTGTAAGACAAGCACCTTAACCCCTAGATAGACTGTCTCTCTGGCCTCTATCATTATTTTTGGAAACAGAAGATGAGAAAGAGGCAAGAATGCTCATTTCTAATCTTCCATAACAGTCAGTAGGGAAGGTTACTTCTTTAATTCCAGAAATGGCAGGGTAGGTTTATTATTCTAGAATATATGGATGTGAGGGGCTTGGCATTAGAACAGCGGGTAGGGTGTTTGCCTTGCACACAACCGACCTAGGTTCAATTCCCAGCATCCCATATGGTCCCCCAGCACCGCCAGGAGTAATTCCTGAGTGCAGAGCCAGGAGTAACCCCTGTGCATGGCCAGGTGTGACCCAAAAAGCAATAAATAAATAAATAAATATATACATAAAATTAAAAAAAATAAAATATATGGATGTGAAAGACAGAGAAACAGCTAGGAAGCGTGAAACCCTCGTCCTTCACACCCTACCGAGATGACGAATTGCCACCCACAAGCGGCTCTCCAGCACGGCGATGGCTCCAGAGGCAAAAGGACTTAACCCAGAGCCTGGCAGCTTGCGGCAGAAAAGTGAATGGACCATGCATTAAACTATGGCGCCATGCCTCCCCAGGAGGGAAAGGGTGTTGCTCCCTTCCGCTCTCCCCCTCCCAGCAGCAAGGTGGCCGCCACCTCAGAGCTTAAGCCAGGTGTGAGCCAGCAGTGATGGGGCAACTGCAGTCTCATGGAAAGGGGGACAGTACCAGCTCGTCCTTCACGCCCTACCAAGGTCACGAGTTGCCCCCCACAAGCGGCTCTTCAACACAGCCATGGCTCCAGAGGCAAAAGGACTTAGTCCAGAGCCCAGCAGCTTGCGGCAGAAAAGTGAATGGACCATGCGTTAAACCATGGCGCCATGCCTCCCTGGGAGGGAAAGAGTGTTGCTCCCTTCTGCCTTTTCCCCCCCCTAGCAGTAAGGTGGGCGCCACCTCAGACATAGGAAAGCCAGGTATGAGCTGGCGGTGACGGGGCAACTGCAGTCTCATGGGAAGGGGGATGTACCGGCTCATCCTTCACGCCCTACCAAGGTCAAGAGTTGCCCCCAATGAGCGGCTCTCCAGCACAGCCATAACACCAGACGCACAGAAACCAATCTCATAATTATCTGGCTCTTCGCAGAAATTCAAAATCACGAGGCCGCTATTGTGGCCACGGGAGATAATATGATTCTCATAACCAGCTATAGAAACAAAGTACTTCACAATGCCTTTTCAGCAATTCTGATTGTTGGGGGAAAATTCTAAACAATAATGGTGCATCTTTTGTCAAAATTATGAATGTAATCAATGTAGAGAAGAGTTAAGTGGAAATCATCTGCCTCACAGGCATTAGGAGGGGCGGAAGGGGGGGTATATTGGGGTTCTTGGTGGGGAAAAATGAGTACTGGTGAAGGGAGAGGTGTTTGATCATTGTATGACCGAGACTTACACCTGAAAGCTTAGTAACTTTTCCCACAGTGATTCAATAAATAAATATAAGAAGAAAAATAAATAAATAAATAAATAAATAAATAAAATTATGGAAAAAAAAAAGAAAGTGTGAAACCAAGTGGAGAGGCCCTGCAGTGAGAGGTCAAGAAAGTACTTTTATCATACATGTTTGCCTGGGAAATACTCCCAGTGGTGCTTGGTCAACTGCCTGAAAAAACTGGCCTTGCCTGGGGGTCACCAGCCAAGCCCAGCAGTGCCCAGGAGCCTCCAGAGCGACACCAACAGTGCTGGGGCCCACGAGCTGCCAATTCCAAACTCCAGGCCGGGCATATGCCAGACCTTTGCCCCTAACCACTGAACCATCTCTCCGGCCCCTGTAACTTGACTCTTAAGAAAAAGATTAGAAGCCAGAGAGATAGTACCTGGGGTTAAGGCATTTGCCTTCCATGTGCTTGACTCCGTTTCCCTCCCTGGCATCATGTGTGGTTCCCTGAGCACTGCCAGGAGTGAGCCCTGAGCACAGCCAAGTATAGTCCAAAACCCAAAATAAGCAAGTAAATAAACAAATAAATAAATAGTTTTTAAAAAAATTTTCCAGTGCAGTAAACCCAGGAGGAATCTCTAAGAGTCCACCAGGCTGGCCCCACAGGGCAGACAGGCTCAGAAGCCCCCTGAAGTGTGGGTTTGAGAGCACACAGGCTGAGAAATGCGTGTGGCAGAAGCACCAGGCTGGTGGGAAAGTGTCAGCCTTCTTGAAAGACCGATTTGTTAAAGGGTTTGAAGCAGGGGAGATTGACGGTCCATTCTGCAGAAGAGCGAAGTTAGTCTCGGAGGCTGTTGAGGAGGTGATGTTACAGGCAGGGGCTTCAGTGATAAAAGTCCTCCTCCATCCTCCACTCTCCATGCCAGGGGCTGCCTCATGCTGGGAAAACAATTCTGTACTTTATTTTAGTTTTCTGTTTGTTTTTTTGGGCCACACCCAGTGGTGCTCAGAGCTTACTCCTGGCTCCTGGCAGGACTCGGGGGACCATATACAGTGCCAGGCATCAGACACAGATCAGCCACATGTAAGGCAAGAACCCTGAACCTCTATTCTGGTCTCTCTAGCCTCCCCTTCTTTTGTGTGTGTGTGGGGAGGTTGGGGGGGGGCAGGGCGGGCATATTTTAGTCTCCCAGTTGGGAACAACGTTTAATATACTCAAGACAAACTCCAAGACAAAATAAATTCTAAGTGCATGACCCAAGTTTGTTTCCCCTTTCCCCCACTTTCCTTCCCCTGCCCCCCTCACCCCTACACACACACACACACACACACACACACACACACACACACACACATGCGTGCCTCCAAGATCTCGAATTTCTCAGAGCAAAGACTGCATTTCATTCAACACAAAGAAAAAGGTGGAGGTGAAGTCCAGAACAAGAGCATGTGCCCCAGAGTATTTTATGAAAAACAACAACAACAACACCTGTTTTCTTCTTTGTCCTGTGACTGTGAACATTAATTTTTGGAGAGGTGAGGTGGCTCCAGAGTGCCCAGGCAGAGCACTCATTCATTCAGCTCCAGGGAGAGGGGTGCTGGGGGGTTGAGGGGGGGTGCTCAGGGACGACCGAGGGGAAGGTCCTCTCAGTTATTCAGGGGCTCAGGAGCCTGGGATCTAGAGATGTGCCCTATGGCTGCTCTCCCCACCTCAACCCTCCCTCTGCAACGGGATATCTCTGTGTGCAGAGGTGGGTGCGTTTGCACCCACAGGACCCTTCCGGAGTGCTGGTTGGTATCAGGATTTGTCTCTTTCTCAGCGGGTTCCTCCTTGAGCTGATGTGAGTCCTCCGTGTCCTGAGTTTGTCGAATGTTCAGTCACTACCAGATGTCCCGGGGAAACTCACTCTGCTGCGTGCTTCCCTTTCCAGGGCTCAGAATTGGAGCTTCCTGAGAGATTACGACCCGCTGGTAAGACCATGTGTGACTCTGGGCTTTTTGTTCATTCCTGACTTGGTGCCCCCATCCTCGCCCACACGGGTGGGCTGGGCGTTTCAGGCAGGGGAACAGCAGAACCAATGGTGACACCGAGACAGAGTCTGGAGCAAGGAGTGTGGGCAGCTCAGCACTGCTGAACTTGCCTCTTTGCTGGCTGCCCTGGGGTAGAAAACACAGCTCAAGGGACCAAGCTTCACTCAGCTCTGGGTTCCCACTGCCAGCCAGTAAGAATCTCTCCTTGGGGCTGGAGCAATAGCACAGCGGGGAGGGCGTTTGCCTTGCATGCGGCCGACCCAGGTTCAATTCCCAGCATGCCATATGGTCTCCCGAGCACCACCAGGAGTAATTCCTGAGTGCAGAGCCAGGGGTAACCCCTGTGCATCACTGGGTGTGACCCTCCCCCCCCCCAAAAAAAAAAGAATCTGTCCTTGCTTGCAGTGATGCATTAGCAACCAATCTAGAGGGGTTGCTAGAGCCTAAGTGGTGGGAGGGCTGCAGGGTCCAAAGGATACAGCACAAGCCCCCCCACCCGCCACCCGCCAATCCAGTCACACATTGCAAACATAAAGGGCCCAGGGAGTTCGGGGGGGGGGGGGGGAGTCCCAGGGTACAGAAGGAGAAGGGGCCCGGGACTGGCTGAGTTTCATCACTCTCCTGGGGGGTCCCAGCCAGGTGAACATCTCCTTCCTCGCCCTCCTTAGGGCCCAGCTGGTGTGGGGTGTCCCCAGTCCCCAACACATGACGCGACTGTCCCTCTCTCAGGGTAACAGGAAGGAGCCGGTGCAGCTGCCCGAGCACGTGCCTCTCTTCTCGGACACGGTCCCTAATGCCTCGAGCCAGGTGGTAGGCAGCAGACTGGGCACGGCCCTGGGCCAGACCCTCGCCCGCATGGACCTGCGCTTCGTGGAGGGGGCGCGGAAGAAGAAACTGGACGAGGAGCTGCAACCAGTGTAGGGAAGGTCAGTGGTGGGTCTGGGGACGTGGGGGCCCAGGTGCCCCTCTAATCTGGGCCATGTCTCCCTCAGCCCTCCTCCCCACTCGCGTAAAGGCTGAGAACCGCCCTGGGGGTCACTCAGGATTCCTCAAGGGAGGGATTTCCGGTCTGTCATTGGGAGCTGATGGCCCCAGGTCCACACTGCTCCTGGCTGGGTGCTGTGTGCCCTCAGCCGGGTACTTGGAACCTCAGTGTCTCTGTCTCCCCATCTGTAAGTTGGCATATCCACTTCCGGGTGCTGCAGTGACAAACGACCCCCTAAGACAGCACAGGTAGGGCTGGAGGGGCGAGTTCAGAGGGCTGGAGTTCAGGCTCTGGGTACTGGGCCTCTGGCACCATGTGGTTCCCTGAGCATGGCTAGGAGCAAACCATGCGCACTGACAATGGAGTTTCCCCCAAGCATGGCAGGTGTGGCACCCCAAATAGAAAACAAAACAAAGGAGGGAAAAAGGAAAAGGAAAAAACACCAGGCTGGAATGATAGTACAGCGGGTAGGGTGCTTGCTTTGCATGTGACTGACCCGGGTTCAATGCCTGGCTTCTCATTTGGTCCTCAGAGCCCTGCCAGGAATGATCCTTGAGTTCAGAGGAGGAGTAAACCCTGAGTACAGCAGGTGTGGCCCCCAAACAAAACACACACACACACACACACACACACACACACACACTCACACACACACACACTCACACACATTATCTCATTATCTAACAGGTTCAGATGTGAAAAGATCAACCTGGGACTCAACTGGTGCTACAGAACTTTGTGGAAGAATCTGGTCCTGATTCCAGTTCCAGAGCTGTCCTGTGTCATCTCTATCTTTGTAGACAGTATTGTAGTGTCTTTCCAAACCTCTGACTCCTTCCTCCCTCCCTCCCTCCCTCCCTCCCTCCCTCCCTCCCTCCCTCCCTCCCTCCCTCCCTCCCTTCCTTCCTACCTTCCTTCCTCTCTTCTTCCCTCCCTCCCTCATCCCTCCCTTCCTTCCTTCCTCCCTTCCTTCCTCCCTCCCTCCCTCCCTCATCCCTCCCTTCTTCCTTCTTCCTCCCTTCTTCCTTCCTTCCTTCCTTCCTTCCTTCCTTCCTTCCTTCCTCTCCCCATCTCTATATCTGTTTCTGTCTCTGTCTTTCTTTGTCTCGCCACCCTTTGTCTCTCTTCCCATCCTCTCCCCCATCCTGTAGGGACCCTGTGCTCCACTGTCCCATCACATCACTCCTTAGCTTCCTCCTTTGCTTCCCATCCCTGGGCCCTGGGGATGGGGCTAACAGCAGTGCTGGGGTCCAGAGGGCCCCCCGAGTGCCACAGGGCTGAGTCTCATGCAGGAGCAGTAGAGGATGCATGTGATGGAGGGCACCCACCCACAGTCACATGGGAAGAGGTGGCGAGCTGAAATCCTTTGTGATGTGGGTGTGATCAGGATGGGTCCAGCACAGTGGTACTGGCCCCAGGTACAGGTCTTCCATGCTTCAGCAACAGTGGGGCTCCAGGGGATGCTCTCATGGGTGAGCAGGCTGGAAGGACACTACCAGGGGACACTCTCCAACAGTGTGCGTCCAGGCAGAAGCTGCCTCTTGCTTATGGATCTGGGTCAGTTCTGCACGTTTTCCGCTGGGTCGGCCATCCCTGCTGTTTAAGCACAGAGTGGGAGCAAGCAGTCACCCTGGGATGGGCAGCAAGACAGCTGGGCCACCTCAAGTCTGGGTCCCCAGACCTCTTGTCCCCAGGCCTGTCCCCAGGGATGACTGATGGAGCCCAGCAAATAAGGAGCAGACAAATCCCCAGGGAGGGAGGACATTGGGCTCAGGCATGGGAATGTTTCCTGTCTCAAGGGCAACGGCCAAAATACAGGAACAAAAACACCCTGAAACCAAAGGGCCACCCACATCGCAGGGGTAGATGTGGGAAGGGGACCTGACAATTACTCTCCCGGGAAGTCGGTGGCAGCGGGTGGCCGACCATATTGCAGCGGGCGGGTCCTGTGCTATCCAGAGCCCGGAGGGTGGCTGAGGTGGCCTGGGCTCTGCGAGGTTGGGGGTCCAGGTGGGCGCCCTGTCTCCCATCCTCAGGAACCCACACCCTAGCACGTTCTTCTCTGGCATGTGGGAGGCTTATGCTGCTGCCTCCCGGTCACGGGCAGCCACCTGAGAGCCCACCTCACCAGTCAGAGACAGGACACCTCACCCGCGAGGGAGCCCCAAGAGCAAATAATCCTGACTAGATGCAGACCGGAATCACATCACATGCGGGTCCACGCAGCAGCTTCCGGCAGGCAGAGCGTGGGGCCTGGCGCCAGCCTGGGACTCAGGGAGGCCGACCTGGCTCTGCTCAGGTTTGCACAAGCCCTTGGAGGCCCAGGTCTCTGGCTCTGCACCACCCCCCCCCCCCCCACCGGCCCGACCCTCAGTCCACCTTCTTTGTTGTTGTCTGTCTGGGCCACCACACACAGTGGTGCTCGGTGCCCACTCCTGGCAGTGCTCAAGGATCACTCATGGTGGGCTCAGGGAACTATCTGGGGTGCTGGAGATTGAACCCATGTTGGGCACATGCAAGGCGAGCGCCCTGACCACTGTGCTCTCTCTTCCCCACCCTGTCTTCTTTTTTTTTTTTTACAAGGCTGCCTGCGTCTCACCTGTCCTACTGCTGTGGCATCAGCCTTAGCGCTGGGGCAGCCTCTGCACAGAACTTCTGGGGTCAAAGGGCAGGGGGAGATGTGGGTCCCCCTACAGGGTTGCGCATTGGCAAAGGCACGGGGGGGGGGGTGGCTCTGGGCTAGGGGTTGTGGGAAAGTTCATGCCTACACCTCCCCACTGTGTCCCCTCTCTTCCCCACTGTCTACTCTGGCACGACCTGCATCTCGACTTTCATGTGGTCACACTGACCACGGGCGCAGAAAGAACCCACAAGACTGCAGCTGCTTCCGGTGCCAGCAAGGCAGCTGGGTCCAGGCCATGACGGGAAACTCCAACCCTTTAGGGGTCCCCCTGGCCAAATTGGGACACCAAAATGATGGCTAGAGGAGTTTTTTCTCCACAGCTTGGAAGCCAGTCTCACATGCTGGGGGAAGGGGCAGTTGAGATAGAGAAGGGACCACCAAGCAAGGGATGCTTGGAGGGCTCACTCAGGATGTGAGATGTGTGCTGAAAGTAGACTATAGACTGCACATGATGGCCACGTAATACCTGTATTGCAAGCCACAACACCCTAAAGGAGAGAGAGAGAGTAAGAGGGAATGTGCCTGCCACAGAGGCAGGGGGGATGGGCGGGGGTGGTGGGCGGGATCCTGGGAACATTGGTGGTGGAGAATGGGAACTGGTGGAGGGATGGGTACTCGACCATTGTATGACTGAAACGTAATCACAAAAGTGTATAAGTCTGTAATTGTATCTCATGAGATTTCATTAAATTTTTTTTTAAATGATGGCCAGGCCTCTGGTACCTCTAGCCAGCCATCTCCCACCATGTATGAACAGTGATGGTAATCCGTGAGTTCAGACCAATAATTTAGCATTCTATAACTGAGGAACCACATGGCAGAGCCTGGCAAGCTAGCCATGGCATATTCAATATGCCAGAAACAATAATAATAACGGGCCTTATTCCCCTGACCCTGAAAGAGCCTCCAATATAGCAGCATTGGGAAAGACGAGTAAGGAGAGGCTGCTAAAATCTCAGGGCTGGGATGAATAGAGATATTACTGGTGTACGCTGAAGTAAATCGAACAATGGGATGACTGTGATACAGTAATACAATGATAACTGAGGATTGAGAGGTAGTGCTGCAGGTAGGCATTCGCCTTGCATGTGCCCAACCCAGGTTCAATCTCCAGCATTATTCATGGTCCCCAAGCTCCATCAAGAGAAGTCCCTGAGTCCAGAGTCAGGAGAAGTCCCTGAGCACTGCAAGGGGTGCACGCAGTGTTTGCTGTAACTGAAGCAGTCTGTATAAGGCACTAAAACTGGATATGAAGAGATAGTGCAGAGGGCAGGGCACTTGCCTTGCACATGGTTGCCACAGATTTGATCCCCAGCACCCATATGCACCCCTGAGCCCTTCCAGGAGAGATCCCTGAGCACCAAACCAGGAGTAATCCCCGAGCACCCCAAACCAAACCAAATTAAAACAAAAATGCACTGAAACTATCGACTGAAAGTGTCTCAGGGAGCAATAGGTGATGGCCCACGGCAGAGTCCACTTTATCTGAGTTACAAGTAAACTTAGTCGCCCTTGTAACAGGCCAGCAGACAGCAGCAGAGCTGGCAGGGCCGGACACTCCTGCAGATCAGAGCAGAGGTGCTCACAGTCGGATGAAACCAGGCAGTCGAACAGGAACTTTTTGTGAAAGAGCTGGCCAGAGTCTTCAAAATGGCTAAGTCACAAGAAACACTGTCCCACGAGATCAGAGGAAGGCAAAGGAGTTCAGGGCAAAGGGGCCGCTCTGGTCCAACATAGCAAAGGCAGCTGCAAAGTCTCTGCAGACCCCACATCGGAGAACAGGATGAGTGTCAGCTAAATGTGCAGAACTGGACCTGAGCACTGTGTGGATGTTACTTTGTAGAGGGTGGATGTACTGCAGAGGGCATGTGGTCGAAGGTTTCTGCTCTTAAGAGACATAAGCAGCAGAACTTAAAGGGTAGCATGTCCTGATGTCTTTAACTTGCCAATGGGTTTAGCAGAACCAAGTGTCTGGTGTGTAAACAGAGACTGATGAAGCTTATGTAAGTGAAAATCTTAATTAGTGACACACAAGTGAAAAACATGCAAGGGCTCCTTGTACTGTTCTTACAACTGTCTATAGGTTTGAGGACCTCAAAAGACCTGGGTGAGGGGAAGGGCCTTGCCCAACAGCCCCTAACTCACCAGTTTCACCCCACTGAAGAGGAGTTGGGGGCAGATTAAGCCACTGTGCGGCCAGCTCTAGTCTGGGGAGATGCCAGGCTCTGCTGAGGGGACGCTCAAGGAGACAGG